CTAGGGGTAGTCCAAATTAAATTTCTCACTAAATTGTTTTATTACTGAATTCCGCAGGTTCGCTTCTACTAAAATTTTTAATTAATACTGTTTTAGTAATGTTCTCTAGTATTCTAAACAGCTATTATACTCACAATAACTGACAGAATGAGTTTGAACGAGTCTGTCGTCGACTCTGCTACAGACGTACACACGCTGTCTCTCCCCATGCTAAACTTTTTCACCAGTCAGCTAATCCCAGGTCCCCTCCATTACGATACACACGTGGTAACGTGGATTAAAACGTTTTTGTTTATAATTTAGTCCCTTTGAAATTGTCTCTTTTCATTAGAACGGCCTTTAATTATCAGATTATTACTTTGGCTTACACTAAATGATACATACAATAAATGCTAGTTATTTATATAGCTAAACATTTGTAAGCCGTTTAGTAATCTTACACTTTAAACTTAAGAACTTATTAGTACATTTTTATAAAAAAAAATTGAACTTTCAAATACTACATAAGTTGTCAACTACTGCTTATTAATTTATTTTCGTAAAGTCCACCTTCACAACAATCTAATATGCTTGAAAAACATTCCCTGCACGGATCCATAACGAAGTAATTTACAGGCTGTTTTAGCTTGTTAAAACTATTACCTTCTTACTCATTATTGCATTGCAAAATGAAAAATGTGTGAATTTAACGGATGTTGAGAGGGAAATAAAATGATTAAAGCTATATTCGCGGTCGCTTGAGTGGAACAAAATCATCGCGCTGTTGTAAATTATTCCCGTAATACTTCCTCGCTTGAATATCTAAGTTGAGTTTTCCTCTTAGCTCTCGGGAAATGTTATTTAATGACTATTGTATAAATGTGGGTAGCTGAAAAATCATACTGCATTTCCCTATTTTATTATTTTATTTTTGGCGTGTTTTTACATTTTGTCCTCTGTGTACTGTATGCGGAATTGTTATACATATAATCAAAATTCGTACGAGTACCCTCGTTTGTATAGTACCTTTTACAAGTACCTTTTGTACCTTTTGATGGCGGGCTTGCCTGTCAGGGATTAGATAGGTCCCGAGTGTTGCTTGCACTAAATGCGTCGGGGCGCTCCATTATGGACCTCTAGGTTCCGACCTAGTGGAACCCAGGTGGAGTGACGCTTAAACAAGCAGCCGGAATCCCTGGTTAGGATTGAGGGGCAACCCTCTTTCCGAAGGGTCTGCTTCGGCAGCCGGCGAGCCTGATGACCTTAAGTCATCCGCCCATGATGTGCTAAAGGTTGATGCATAAGCTTCGGCCTACATCATGGGGCCCGGGTTAAGTCTCACGACAGGTACCGGGTACGTAGTCAGGGGGCTTCGGCTCTCATGACAAAGAATAATAATAATGACAAAGTACCTTTTACAGCAAAACAAAAATTAACCACTACGATATGGTTATAAAATTGATAATGATTAACATCAAACTACTTGTCGTATCAATTAAAAGACCCCCGCTGCAGCAAACCTGCAGACTAAGCGAATTTCCATTAGCCTGATTGGATTTACACTAAAATGTCTCCTTAAAAATATCACATTTATTCCCTATTTAAATAGCATCAGTTTAACGAGTACCTAGGTTTGCTGTGACAGGGAGGGTAAAAAGGTGTTTTTGTAAAATGTTAATCGTTTAGTATGAAATTAATGCATTTTCCAAATGTTATCAAAATTTGCTCATAAACAAGGAAACTACAACAGTTTACAATTTTCTCCATAAGAATAACATGGTAATTTTAAATTTACACTTTTTTTCTCCCAAACCATTAGGCAAATAACAATGCTTCAATATAATAAATTATTTATTTTTTAGCTCTACAAAATGGTTGGGAAAGAAATTCCAAAATGTTATGTTTTTAGGGTCTAAAATGGGGAAAACCAATTTTTACCCCATAAAACCCCTAAACCCCCACACCCCTACAACCCCCCTAATAAACCCCTGTTCCCATAGTCCGATCATGCTGGTTCGCGATCTGGTTCGAATAAACGTAGGTTCACACGTTCATACCAAATTTTATCAAAAATCGGATCATTTTTGCTAGAGTTATCTCTCTAACAGACACATATATAAATAAATATATATATATGAATTTGAACGGATGGTGTTTTTGGCCTCTAGGGACCTCAAAACGAAAATGTAAATCGGTCCCGGGTCCAGGTCTTACCATGAGTAAAACGGTAATAGCTTATTCCCTATATGGGAAATTCGCTAAAATGCAATTTAATAATACTTATGCCAAATACAACAAAAGTAATATATCAGAAAATATGTGTGTATAGAGCGTTTTATGTGGCATGATCACATTTTCTCTTATTTGTATAACATAAAACAGTGTAGCCAACCTGTGTTAACTCTGTAGCCTCCTAAATCACGTTGGCACTACTGCCATCAGCTGGTCTCACCTCATTACTTTTACCCTCACTTGGAACATTTCACCAGTAAATTACTCTTGATGAACACCAGAAGCATCTAAACGAGTATTCTCCACTTTACCTGGTGCAGACCACCGTGCATTGGTCTTGATTGTCGTTAGGAGTTGTAATACTGTATCAGCGAGGGGACTCGTGGGCAAGTTGCCCATTTTAATAGGGCTGGAAACTTAGTTTAGAGGTAATAATGCAATATACTTTTACCGTTCAATGATTATGTTCGTATAAGACAGTAATTAGACGAATAAAACTACTAATATAATAAATTCGTTGATAATTATTATTATTATTTACCAGATCATATGTAAACAATTTCAAGAATTAGTAGCAAACTACTTTTAAAAATATATACCTGGCCAAATGGTAAAGGTCGATTCAAACGTATCAGTTACGGCTCTTCAACGGATTTCCTATTGCACTATCTACACTCATCTGACGCAGATCCGTCCAGTCGCTCTGCCGGCGTCCGGCAGTCAATTTCAGATTTTTTCACCGATATTTTTAGATTGTTCGGATGCCTGACGTACGTATTTGAGGTTAGAAAATGTTTTTTTTTTCAATTTAAATAATCGTGTTTATTGTAACAATTAACAAGATAGAAAATAAACATTTGATAGAATATTGTTTTAACATGTTTTTATGTCTGTAACCCTTCTGTAAATGAAATGACGAAAGACCACGGTGACTGAAACCAAATGACTAAGAAATTGCGGATGCAACTATGACTGATCTGTGACGGAACGGTGACTGAACTGATATGTGTGAGTCGACCTTAAACTTAGACACAACTAAACTAAAACACTAACTTTGTCACCATATTCCTACAGTTTATATTTCTTTGTACATAGCCAACACATTATTCCAAATCAACAGCAATATAACATGTCCTCGAATGCAATCAGTACAGCTGTGAAGGCGAGACTTTTGCAATTACTGGGGATGTTCCAGCCAAGAGGCCCCTTGAGCCTAGACCCTTGACTTCATTCATTGAGGGATGAAGAGCAAGACACCAGTCAATGACATTTTCCCCTTAGATAATTTCTGTTAGGTTTTATTGAGGGTTGTAACCAGTAACAATTACCAATTGTACATAAGTGCCATAATGGGTATTGGCATTACACCATAAAAATAAATCACAAGAGCAACACTAAGTTTGATGGGATTGGTACAATTGTAATCCATTTAATTTAGTGTGCATTTTTTATTGTATTTCATTGTATGTGTTTGACCCATAGATGTGTTTTGTTTTTGTTAAGTCCCTAATGGGTTAGTGATCAATAAATTCTTGCCATTCGTAAATTGGTTTTTATTTTTATTGAGGTGTTCAGTTGAATTCAGTCTATTAACATCTGATCTCTATACAAGACTTACCATCTAGGATGTAAATACAGCGGTTACATGAGGACGATTGGGAATTCAATATTACTTGTATACATAATCATATTAACACGTACTATAAGAAAAGACACCGCACATGATATGAAATGGTGATACGTTTTCTTCGGGTACCACCAGGTTCTAGCCTAAAACCGTCTTAGTCATGCTAATCTATTGGCAATTGGCTGGATTTGAATCCGGAACTTCTGTGACCGAAGCCCCGCGCTCTAACACACCCTTATTGTTCTACTAACATAGAGATGTTTTACACACCCAAAAAATCCTATAAACGCTGGGACATCCTATGACGATGGGAAATTAATATATTATCATACATAGCCAATGGTATTGCATAATAACAGGGTACTATATTTCAAAATACAACATAGTAATTTCATAAAACAAACCATCTTTTCAATATTTTAACACAAGTAATATGAAGGTTCATACACAAAGATTTTTATAGTAAGTTTTTTATAGTATGTTAGTAAATATTTAAAGTAGGCCCTAATATAGCTGCCATCGTTATCTGTGCTCTATTACGGTTTATCGTCAATGATGGTACGGATTGTATGGACTGCAATGTTTATAAACATCCAATACTTGTTGTATTTACTTCTTATTCTTCTCACACCAGTCTCCCCCGGGGGCCAAGGGGACGTTAAGACACTTCCCGATTGTTCCTCGATCCCTTCTTTGTCTTTGGGGATTTTCTGGTGATTTCCTGACTTGATTACACCTAACGCTTTCCTCTTTCTTTCTAGATTCGAATTTCTCCATTCCCAAGAGTTGTATACCTTTCAGTCCACAGTATACCTTTTTCATTATATTCTCCTTTATTAAACACTGTATTATATCTCTGACTATTTATACAAATAGTACTGTACTAAATTATTTTGTTTTTCAATTTGGTTACAAATTTAATTGTATACAATTATTATATTTCCAAAAAGTCTTAGAAGTTTTTATATCCAATCAGTATTAAGTTACATTCCAAATCATAATTCTCAGTATGAAATAATATTAACAATGTTATGAAATTTAATTTAAATTTGTTAAACATAATTATTTGTCATACCTAAAACGTTGTGTTTTGTCTTTGTGACCAACTAAATGATACTACTGTATTTCTAAATAGCCTTTTAATGATCCTTGGTTTTTTCAGATATTGAGGTGTGATCACCGTTGAGTACTTCGACAAAACAATGTAAGTACTGCAAAGTCCTATTGGTACTGAGATTGGACCGCTTATGATTTTTTGGTTATTAAATTAGTCGCCCAATAATCTAATACTGAACTACAAACACTACAACTGAACTATAGATTTTAAAGGTTATTGTTTTAACGTGAAAAAGAACTCACCAACAATCACAAAGGAAACGTTTGGAAAATTCTCTTTGATCTAAAATAAAAAATCTAAAATATTATTTATTACTTCAACTAGTTTAAACTCGTGGATTTGATAACAACATCAAACAAATATTGTTTAAAAATGAGTAAATACTTGTTTGTGAAACCATTTAATCTACGTTATAAGTGTTAATTTAAATTCCCAATGATGTCTAGTTCAATAATAGGTTTAATTTGGACAAATGGAACCACTTTGTCCTCATATAGTATGGGGATCATTGGATCAACGGATCAAACGGCTAAACCCTGTGATGTTGGCAATGTACCTTACCATTTTATGCCGAGTTAATCCTACAATATGTAGTTTCATAAGCTTTGTGTGGATTGGTAACGATGCAGCAACATTACTATATAAAATATTGAAATATTATCAAGGGGAAATACAGTATATATAGCACTCGTGTAAAAATATACTTGAATAACACATTACAGGAGACAAAGAATCATGTTCCATTATAAAAAACTATTGGATTAATGAGAGTAAAATATTTTGACCTGCAGTATATGGGTTGATTATATGGTACAAGACAATCTTAAGTTCGGAGAATATGGCAAAACAGTTCAGCTTCTAAGTGTAAAATAAGTATTTAGATATAATTATTGGTATGTATTTTGTTTACTGAATCGTCAATAACTGTGTTAGACGTGTATTGAAAATTACCTTTTGATGTTTTGATCCAACTTCTCATGCATCGTATTCGTATTTGTCTTAATAAAAAATTATTTACGAAATAAATGTAAAAGGATGCTTGAAGGTGTCCCTGTGTCGCAAAAGTTACAACAGACATCACAAGGTGATTGTTTAGTGTTTAGCTTATGGAAAACACTCGATCAGTGCTTCATAAGTCCTTAATCCCAATTATAACTTTATCTAAATATGATCTTCAATCTAAATCCTATAATGCACACATAAATGATTTTTTTACTATATAAAAATCTTTGGAAACATTTAAAATAATACACAGAGTTTCTTCTGGAAGATGCATTTCTTATACAAACAGTATTGCAGACATTGTAAACATATCTAAATTCTTTCGGGCAAATCCTTTTCTGAATGTCAAGCATCGTAAGTCAGCAAAGCCAATCCTCTTAAGATCTATTTGATATTCCGAAGCTTTACACTTCATTAGAATAGTCAATCTGAATGTTGGCCCTTGAATTCTCGAGTAAATACACTGGACTGGCGGGTTTCTCTTTATCTGCCAAATATGGTTGGCTACTAAGTTTGAACAATAATTTGTTTTAAACTAGTTAGTGGTTTTGTCATATATATACACTTGATTTGTATAAAACCGTAAAAAGATGCAACAAAGTGTGGGAGAGTTGCATAAGAAAGCAGACAAAAATATTTATTTTAAAAATAAAAGTGTTAATTTTTACCCTCACATTAAATAAATTGACATAAATGTGGTGGATCTGGATGGAGAGGATGGTTGAGGTTGTTTTCTAACTGAAATATACAAAACTGGCATTTATAGATGCAAACTAAATAATTCTGGATGCAATTGAAAACTTTTGATATACAGTGAAGAGGATGTAAAGTAATGGAACCGAGATTACAAAATCTACCAATACTAGAGACTACGAAATTATGATTATATAGAACTAGAACAATCAAAAAGGGGCAGGAAGTCGTTTTTAAAATGGATCTTTAACTTCACTTATACTACTTAGACAGTACAAAACATAACATAGTCCATAGTAGTGTCGTAACGAAAAATCTGAAGCAAATAATAATTTAAATAATAATGAGGATGATCCGATTATTATTCACCGACATAGATTATTCGCCGAGTTATTTAGTTATTAAATTAAATTAGTTATTATTATATGTAGTGATAAATGGTTGAACCCCTTATCCTATATATAACTTGTTTACCTACATTTCTGAATTGTTGTTATAGGATTTTAATTTACAACCCGATTATGTAAGGCAAATAAATAATAGTCCCTTGAATCAACTTGGTGAGTAATTTCTATTGTGTTCTGTTTCACGTGCGCATGGTTTAATATAACATAGTGAAGTCCATTACGATACTAACTTGTTTATTACATTTGCAAATTATATTTATTCTCACTATGTCGCGATTCAAATATACAAATAAATCAAAGAAGGTCGCCATCAATTGTCCAATACTGTCGATGAGTACACATTATCAAGTACCCTGAACTGTCACTTTTTTGGTGTACCATACACTGATAAACCGACATGGAATAAGTTAGGTTGGGCTTTGATTTGCCACCAGGTGGAAAATACTTCAATTTCAATGTTTCAGCACATATTAAACCCCCTCCCGTGGGGCGACAGGACTGATGATAAATGTTTTACAAGGTTTATCATCAGGCAAGCGTGATTGATTACTGTAAGAGATTTATTGGATTTTTTCATGTTAATCCGCCGTGGAATTTTTAACGAAATTTGTTAAAGATAATAAGATGAATATTAATATTTTTACAATACAATTTAGATGTTTTATGATTACATTTATTTTATATTTTCAGTTGTACCAGATATAAAGATTACAATTATAACGTCACATACAATGTTACACTATTTGTTAATTCATATTCTGATATAAAAGTAAGAACTGCATAATGCATTTAAAAATCAAATACACTAGTCCTCATCGTTCAACCAATCTTTTGAAACATTTTACACAACAATAAACAGTATCTAAACAATGTTAGGATACAGTGACAGTTACAAACTGAACAGTGAGAAGGACGGTAGCTAAGTTACCGGTACATTGTTGTGTTGTTGTTGTTGTACAGAGATAACAACCGGTGTACACGTCATGTACACTTCATGTACATGTGAACAACAGACTAGTGTATCAGCCATCCAGGTTCCAACATGTCGGACTACATCATACAATAAACATGTGATAGTTGTCAGTTGATACTAGCTTGCTGACGTTTCCTGCTCAAACTAAATACATTGGTTATGAAAGACGTTGATAGAATATTAAATCAGACTTGGTTTTAATTTGGAAGTTGTTATTTACTCGGGTATTTTATACTACTTTAAAATAAATGTAGTTCCCTGGGCATGCTTTCCATATAAAATATATATATACTGAATTTGGTATTTTAGTTTCTGTCAAATTATTGTTTAGCTAAGAGGTTTCAACGATTTATGCAAACAATCCCTGATTCGATAGTTCAAGTGATAAATTAATTCAATATATTTCTTTTAAAATAACCATATTCAAATTACAATTGTTGTTCTATGAAATATAATAATGTAGACATTAAATATAAACATTTCTTAGTAACTATAACTTTAATTCCGTAACTACGTTTAGAAGTATTGCCAATGATAACACCACATGTGAAGGCTTTTTAGTAGGTACCAAATCTCTTAGTGCCGAATGCAAATTAAATTCGATGCCGCCAAATCCGACTTCTTCGGTCCTATATGACGTTTTACAGAACGCTCTTTTGGTTCTGTGGGATTCAAACAATTAATTTAGTTCTTTGAAATTTGAATATATATTTACTAAAACAAATAATACTGCCAGAACAGATTTTCTACAGGCTACAGACTTTGATGACCCCCCCCCCCCCCAAGCACCACCATCTCACAATCGCTAGATTGCTAGGCTCACTTGGAGAGCGGCCTGGAAGGAACCCATAGGGGCGTTCTCCCTACATTTTTAACCCCTGTCAACAATACTCCCCACGACAGCTAATCTAATAACATCCCCCTCCTCTGGACAAGTTCCTATTATGGATACACACGCGTTGTTTGAGGTAGATAACCTACCTGGAAAATAGGTAAACATTTTTTAATCGAGCTCCTATAACCTGGTCGTAATAGCTTTGCGAGGTGCTGAAATTTCCATTCGAGGTAGTCTTATAACAATATTTAATTTCTTGCAGTATTCTTTAGAATTGTCCATGAAATATTATAAATAAATTTTGTGTTTATACCGTACCATTTTTCGTTATAAGTCCATAAAATCACGGATAATGATCTTATAATAATGATGATAATTGATTATGATGAATGATATGGATGTGTTGCTTAGGCCCCCCATACACGTAACGATCGGCCGGCCGGCGAGAGCCGGAAGGCCAAACTGAACAGTTTGGCCTGTGAAAGGAGAGTCCCCATACACGCAACGATTCGCCTGCCAGCCGGACTGAAATTTGAAGTTATGTCAATGACCGTGCCTTACCTTAAAAATTAACGTAAATCAAAAATAATGCTACTACTGTACTGTCGGCCTTCCGGCGGCCTGCCGGCGACCCCATACACGTAACGATCGGCCTGAAGGCGGGGGTTGGCCGGACGACGACCCCACAGGCCTACACGTAACGATCGGCCGGCCGGCGTGGACTGTTCAGGCCGGGCCGGCCGGCCGATCGTTACGTGTATGGGGGACCCAAGTGCTTACCGTCTCGGACTTTACGGTGCGGGAAGGACGGGTACGATTCCTGGTACATTAATACTTTATGGGTTTTGACCTCTTTGCCTTAAACGAGTTTAAATTGACTTCATTATATAAAAAAACCAATGGCGTACAGGAAAAATAAAATATTTTAAATAATTTGATAATTGCGAAGTACCACGTTTTGTGTATATAAACTGAATAGACACTTTATGATGGAACCTTCACTTTACCATATCCTTGTGGTGTTAAAAAAATAACAAGTAATGGTAGCCCTGTGAATATTACATAACTCTCAAACATTTTATGTGAACAAATAAATGTTTTGATGACATCTATTCAATTACTTTCTATTCACATCTTATACATCTATTCAATTACTATTTATTCACATCGAATACAT